TGCGGGAGTGGACGCTCGAGTTCGTGTATGCCTCGGGCGGGTCCTCCAGGTTGAAGGAGACGTCGGACGTTGCCTTGCCCTTGTGGGCCATACACCATGCCTGGAAGTCCAAGCAAGCCTGGCCACTATGTGACGCCGACCGCGAGAAAGACAAAGACGATGATTAAAAATCGTGCGAATCGAAGCGTCACAATAGATAAATGAATTCAGCGTACCCATGCTTGTTTGTATCCGGCGAGGCTGCGGCTGCCTTGATGGTGTGCTGGACCTTGCATCTACAAACGACGGTCCCGAGCATCCCTGTGCATCTTGAGGTACTCCTCCGTGAACCACCTCTCCACCATCATCGCCCAGCACTCGGGATACGCTTGGCACCACCAGGAAATCATCTACACGTCATCAAGTATTGTACATATAAGAAGATCAAATTAAACCAACTTAATCTCAAAACGAATAAATATTGATGTTCTTTATTTACCTCAAGGTACTGCTCTCGGGTCAGCTGCATCTCTCTTGCGTCTTTCTTGGTTTTCCTCTCTCCAAGCTTCGACCCATAGTAGGTTACGATGGCCTGAATGTGCACCTCATAATGCATATCGGTGATGAGTTTTTATAGGCTTTGGTAGTCACTTGCTCCGCCCTGGCCTCAAATCTCTTCTCGCATCTGTAATAAGTCTGCATACAATAGCGATGTATCCATTCATTATTTCAAGAAAAGTCCAATGAATACGATGTATTGAGCAATGTTGTACGAGGGAGACTTACCCAAAACTCTACCTTCACCCGCGCCGCCTTGTTGGGGTACTCCGCATCGATGGCGACGGCGTAGATATCACATGTGGAGATGTCCTGGTTTGTAATCATCGTACGTGATAACGTGCACCAAACCTTCTCAAATTTTATCACATCCTCCACATACGATATCATGACATCTCGACAAGTTTCATGATTTTCGGACTTCGTTTGCATTTTATAGAATTTAAAAACAATTCGTCCGCAAGTTCGTGGTCATGTTTCGTGAACAAGATGTTTAAAATTTCGGTTTCGTTCTTGGATACGGCCTCACACTATACTCAATACCATGAATATCATTTTTTGAATCATTAAATTCCATTATTCGATGCATGTGCAGTTTAAATTTATATTTTTGAAAAAAATTCAAGTAAACGAAATAAAGTAACTAAATATATCAAAAGCCACAAAAAATCCCAAAATTCTAACGAGGAGTTCCTGGTACTCAAAAAGGGCTGCACAAAAAATTTGGAGGGAAAAAAAAACTTTGCCGAGCGCCGGGATATGTCACTCTGCAAAGGGGGTCTTTGCCGAGTGCCAAGATTAAGGCGCTCGGCAAAAAGGTTTTTGGATTTTTTTTTTAGAAATTTCCTCTTTACCGAGTCCCTTCACAGGGGCACTCGGCAAAGGAATTTCAAAAAAAAAGTATTTTTTTTAATTCCTCTCTTTGCCGAGTGCCGAATCAGTGGGCACTCGGCAAAGACATTTCAAAAGAAATATTGAATCTTTGCCGAGCGCCGTGTCAAGGGCACTCGGCAAAGTATTTTTTTAAAAAAAATCTTTGTCGAGTGCTTAACAGTAGGCACTCGGCAAAGAAGGACGTGGCCGGACACCGTTACGTGGGGCAGCCTATGCCGAGTGTTGCGCTTTTGCCGAGAGCCCGGCACTCGGCAAAGAAGTCCTTTTGCCAAGTGCAATTCTTTGCCAAGTGCGACACTCGGCAAATAAGGTCTTTGCCGAGTACCCGATTTTTAACACTCGGCAAAGCGGTTTGCACTCGGCAAAGGACCTGTTTCCAGCAGTGAATATGGGGAAAAATGTGTTATTGTTGTTTCAAAGCTGAAACTCTTCCCATCCAGATTTAGAAAGGTGGCTGCTCTATAACTCTTGTTGGACATTGAAAACTTGAGTAAAGTTGAAGCACCGTACGCTTAGCTATGATAATAAGGTCGTCATTTGTTTGCGAACTGGACATAACTTGCATATTCTGCATCTGGAGTTGCACCGTAAGCCAAACATGTTTCGCAGATCCATGTTGGAAGGCCAGATCCATGGTGAAGCTAGTGCTCCAGATCCATGTTTTCAAAACTGGAGCTCTCTCAAACATACCCTTAGCTCCCTCTCTAGAAGATTCACCTTCTCCCTTCTTGGAACAAGCTCCTCCCTCGCAGTGGCAGAGCTCGAAGGGAATTCAAGGAGGGGCCAAATAGTATTCAAGTTATCTCTAGTGTGCAAATCTTTATTACTTTCTAAGGATTAAACACAGACATACAATTATTAGGGGGCACATGCCCCCACTTCGGCCTCCACGTAGCTTTGCTACTTCTCCCTCGCCCTTCGGCTACTTTCCTCCACCGTGGCCAACTGATTCTCCATCAAAGCAACATGCTTTGTGAGGAAGCTAGCTGCACATTCAAATCACTCAACTCTCCCTCTAAATGGGCAGCGTCTTCATTCTTCACCCCTCTTCTTTTTAGGTGATAGGTGTGCACTGTGCAGAGCATAAGCTCCTAATAGTCCTAAAACTCCCATGAAAATAAAAGTAGGCACTATGAAGAAAAGGAAGTTGTGCAAAAACTGGCTCTCCTTTCTTGTCGCGAACCTTTGGTTAAATCATTTTCACTACCGATTTCACTTCAAACCGATGGTAAAAGTGCTGTTGGCGAAAATCCTTTCTATAGTAATGTCTCACAAACACCACCATGGAAAAATAGGGGTTATTGATGTTTCAAGCTATCACCATCCTAATTCAGACAACTCAAAAGGTGGCTGCTTTATAACTCTTGTTGGCTTTCGAAAACTTAGGTAAAGTTGAAGCACCGTCGTCACTTGTTTGCCGAATGGACATAAACATAAACAATCCACTTGTAAGGCGCTGCGATCAAATGTAGAAAGGCGTGGTATGAAGACTAGAGAACGCTGTGTCATGTGCAACAGAATAGGAGAGGATGGCTGCCATCTTTTTTTCAAATGCAAGCATGTCAAGGAGCTGTGGAGGTGTGCGTGCCTGGAGAATTGGCGAGAGAAATTGTCAGCCTGTCAAACAGCAATGGAGGTTGTCAAGATGATCCTTTCAATCAGAGGAGATAGCCAGCTGAAAGTGATGTTCCTACTGTGTAATTGGTGGCATGAAAGAAATGCAGTTAGGGAAGAAGAACAGAAGAGGCTGCCGAACTCCATAGCTAGTCTTTGTTGGAAGCAAACTCTGGAGGTCACAACTTTAAACAGGACCATGCAGCAAGGCGGGAGTTCTCGCAGCAGGGCGACAAAATGTCTACGACCTCCACCGGGGCGCCTGAAAATCAATGCTGATGGTGCCTTCAGGGAAGCTGATAAGAATGGAGGATGGGGATATATCATCAGGGACGATGAAGGCCGAGTGATCCAATCAGGTTCAGGAAGACTACGCTATGCTTGTAACCCTCATGCATATGGAGCTCCTTGCTTGTGTAGAAGGAGCGAAAGCAGCAGCGGGTTTGGGCATCAGAGACATTGTGCCCGAATCTGATGCAGTCCAAGTGATGGAAGCTCTACTCGGTGATGATTTCAGATTGTCAATCCTTGGTGGTGTAGTACATGAGTTGAAGGAATTACTAGCTGAAAACTTCATTTTGCCTCAGATTAAGTATGTTCCACGTGAATTTTATCGGGTAGCGCATGAGTGAGCTTCGATCGGAAGTTATAGGGCCCAATCGAGACGGTTCGATCGAGTTAGCTGGAGCTCGGTGGGCCAGGAGTTGTCAGTATGTAAAGTTGTTGTGGCAAGTGGAGTGGGGGCTGTCCAACCCATAAAGTAGGAGGTGGGCTCTTGTTGTTCCTAAAGGCCCATTAATTTCTCCCCGCAGATTTGGGCTCTGTCACGATAGCCGGTTAGCCACATCCTCCAATTTCCCAATCCCAACAAAAAAAAAAAAGTTACTTCAGGTCTGATTGGTTTGCGACTAAAATTTGTCATGCCAAAGTTAGAGAAAAAAATCTGTCATAGATTTGGCAAGCTAAATGTGAGAGGTTGGCAAGTTTTAGTAGCAAATCAAACAATAGCCAAAATCATGATTTGCCAAATCTTTGGCATGGTAGATTTTAGAAGCCAATCAATCAAGCCTTCTCCTAAAAAAAGCAAAAAAAAAGTTACTACTACTGTGGCTATTCGCTCTCTCCCTCTCTCTCTCTCTCAATCGCAAAAGAAAAGAAAGAAAATGGAAGGCAACGAAAACAATAGAGGGAGAAGAACGTACTGTCCCCTCGATTTGGAACAGGCTCATCCCATATCTATACGAAATATTTCGCTGTGGGGATCATCACATCCTACTCTTTCCACAACCAAACACATCGGCTGAGAGATCGTACTATTCCATCCGCTTTTACCCTCAAAACCAAACAGACAGTTGCATTATAGCCACAGAACCCAGTGAAATAATTTACACAGATATAAAGACATGTCCAATTCCACCCCAAATTCTGGGAGCTTATATGCCTTCTTTGTAACCATCTCGATATTATATTTATTATGATTGGTCGACAGCAACAAAATGTCGTCGTGAAATGGAATTGCAGCAGGCCAGCAGCACTACATTTTCAGGTTCCTTGAAAAAAAAAACTAAGTGAGATATCCCACTCGTCCAGTGCCACTCCAAACCAAACGCTACATACGCATTTCAGATTAAAATACATCAGTAGCGATCAAGCAGGCATCCCTAGGTTGACCGGTATAACTATATACTTCCAATCAATTGTACAACAAACTAAACAGTATTATTAATATCTAAACAAATTCCTAGTAGTAGCTCTAAACAAATTTCTAGCGATAGTACTTCAATTGTACAGTAAACTTGGTTATAATCCATATTCTTAGACTTTTGACGAGTAGTAGCTCTAAACCAGAATCCTTCGTAGCCTCATAAAACATTGGACGCCGACCAAGATCAAGATTTGATCACAACACACAAGTGGCACTACAGTACCCAAACAGAGGAATATCAAATTCTCAGCTAAGGGCTGTGGATTGTGCCATTGGGATGCGATGTAAAGCCATCGTGCAGAACTTCCAACTCGTCAGCTTCCAACAAGAAGCCATTCTCAAAGAACGCAGAGTGGAGGGCTTGAACACACTGCTTTGCCTCACTGTCATGGACCACCAAGGAAATGTTCACCTGTGTAAGGATGGTGTAACCGATACATTAGATTAGAGTCTCCGAACAAGTATGGTGTCCCCATCAAACACGAGGAGAAAAAAGGAGTACCTTGGACGCCCCTTGCGATATCATCTGGACATTGACACCATTTCTTCTTAGAACATTGAAAGCCTGCCATGCAGCAGTGGATATCAATTGCAAACATAGTATCGCATGATCATTTCTAGAACAGACCAGTTACTCTAGTACGTTTCTGTCCACACTTCCTCAAATTGTATGTTCATAGTTCAACTTTGAAGATTGAGATTGCAGCATTCTAGAGTATTAAGTATTAACAATCATGAAGCTTAGGTGAAATGCACTTGCCTTTTCAAGAATCAAAAATGACCTCTGCACATTTCCAATTAAAGATATTATTGACCTGTTCTGCAGTAGATGAACAACTGCTATCTTTTGAAGCTCTTCAATGACATCATCAAGTTCCTGGTATATAGAAAGGTCAAAATTAGATTTGCCAAGATGCATCATCATCATCTGCTATAAGAACCAACTCTGGCCTCAGCCAATTGTCATTTAACAATATAAAAAATTTCCATGTTACAAAGGACTTTAATTCTTACAAAAACTACCAACATGTCTCTTATTGAGTACAAAGGCAAATATGCAGCATTCACACTTGTTGATTCGTTCCAGATCCTGATTGTCTTGTGTGTTGTGTGCATTGGTGTATTGCTTCTAAGGTTGCAAATGAGGTCGAAGGAAGGATGAGACATGGTCAAAATAAGTGTTTGGAAGGCACTGAGCAGAGAGGAATGGAGAAATGCGCAGAATGATATATAATGTCTTTTTCTTTAATATAGTGACAAATATTTCTTTATATAGGGATCCTAATAAAATGAATCTAGCCTGTAAGAATATGTACTATGACCCAGCCAAATAACAGTCTAACCAAAGTCCTGTCAGTCAAGGTCGTTTAGTTATCTAAAGGGTGATCTTGTAATCAAATGTGTGTGTGTGTAAAGTTTCCTAACCAAGTTCTTCTTTAATATAACAATACATAGCTCTCCTGTATGTTCAAGAAAAATAAGACTATACCTACGAGGCACGAATGGTGGGATGGGAATCCTAGGGTGCCATTATAGGTCCAACCCCACATAACATCAGGTGAGAAAATAATACAGTTAGTTTTTTCCCCCAAAAAAAAGACAAGAAAAACTTGAAGCAAAGTGTTATCTTTATCTACTTTACGCGGATTAAGGAAAAACAAATCTTGGGGAAATATAGTCACTGACAAGAAAAAGAAATTAACAGTGAATAAATTGAGGCCCAAACATTTTTTAGCTGAACCAATTCACAACTCCATAGTTTCGATGGATCCAGTGTCAAGGATATGCTGACTTCACTGGTAGCCACACAATCAACAGAGATGCCCAAGTCTTCAAATATTGAAAAAACCTGAAAATTGATAAAGTAAGTTACAACCAAAAGTAATAGTAAACTCAAGGAAAGTAGCCTCTAAATAGTTGTACCTTAGCTAGAAAACCGTACTGGCCAAGCATGCGTGTGCTCACTATATCAAACATTGTAATATTTGATTTCAAAACAATGCTAGTCAAAACAGTCTAGAATAAAACGTGTCAATATTTGGATTAGAGAGCAAGGACAAGTAGACAAGTCTAAGATTAGAGTTTAGCCAAGTAACAAACCTTACTCATATCTCTTTCTTTAGTGATAAGAGTACCAGAGGCTCAACGGTTATAAGAGTTCTTAACCCTAACAGGTACATCGCCTTCTCTAGTTGGTCGCATTGATTGTGGATGCAAAACCTAAAAGTAATAATTTATGGAAACCAATCAATAAATAAATATCATATAAAACCATTGGCTCAGTAAAAATGCTAAGCTAAAAAACTAGACCACAATGTATAACCGAGATCAATCGAAGTAGTTCATTTGTCAATGTTTTCCTTAATGGATAACAACGCATGCCTGCGCTCCAAAATAGGCAAGTTCGGCTGCCTCATCAAATGTCAAGTATGGCACAGGTTTTGCCTTAGGATGGATATTTGGGTCACATGTTAAAACACCATCAACATCTTTCCAAACCTACTAGAAACAAGATCAATGTTGTAAGTCAACTACACAGGAACAAAAATAAATTAGCAACGATGTACTCTCTCTCGTTGAGCGAAAGAGCCTGTAGCCTAGTGGTTGCAAGTGCTTTAGTAGAACCTCCTCCCAGTGGGGAGCGAATTTAGGCTGGCTAAAAAGTCCCCTTGCTGGCAAAGTCGGGGTTCGGGGGTTTTCTCGGCTTGCATGGTTGAGGTCTTCTACCTTAATAGCTAAACCCTGGGGGCATACCCCTGGCAGGCCAAATTTTACTCTCTCTGTTGTTTTTATAAATTACGTTTTAGAGGGCAAAATTCTGTTCTTTTCACACTAGGGTTCTCGCCTACCATATTCTCCTAAAATGTTCTTCTATGAACGTTTTACATTTACCAGGTCAAACATAAACATAGTTTTCATCCTAAACTTTTCATAATTCAAACTTTTCATAATTCATTTAATGAGTACAAATCCATGTATCAGAGATGAGGCTATGAGGAAAAGTTGAGATGAAAAGAAGTTCATGAGGTTATCCAAATAATTAAAAATCTATCCTAAACTAAAGACTTCATTTTAATGCTTAGATGTTTGGAGACCAACTTTAACCAAAAAAAACAAAAGGAGAGCCTTAGTTAGAGTATCTCATATTAAAAATGATAAGAAGCTATCAAGCCTTATGCACTCGCAGTCAACATTGGGCCTATGGAAAGTAACTCTGCACTAACCAATGAATTAAACTGGTCACCTATTGTGGCTTGAACCAAACAGTAATTGGTCCAAGGAGGAAGACAGCCTAGGAAAACAAATTACAAACCTGGATTTCTCTTAATCCCAAGGCTTTGCCAATGGTTGTAGCTGTCAAGTCGCTACCACCCCTGCCCAAGGTGGTTATTGCACCAGATCTCCATCCCTGCAATTTTAAGTGCATGAAGTGTGAACATTACAAGAGCAAACTCTTTCAAAGAAAAAAAAACTTAAGGACAAATGGAGCATTGATACCCCACAAATGAAATGTGAAATATGGAACCTTTCCAAGAAAGCCAGTGACTATAGGAATAGCAGGATCGTTAATCCAGTCCCCATGTAGCCTCTTCGCAACAGCAGGATATGTTGCTTCCAGAATATCCGCATTTGTGAAATCATCGGTAGTTATAAAGCCAAGATCAAATGCATCATACTGCAATGAAGCAAGAATCAGAAACTTTGACTAGATATCTACTTGGTTGATGCTTTACATGAAGAATTTTCTGTGCATAGACAAAAATCTACTAGAAGAAAATAGGATCACGAAACACTTATTAGCAGTATGTGTATAAGAATACAAGAAATATACTGACTTGTCAAGAATTTGGAACTACAGTTTGTGCTACATGCAATGCATTAATGAATTTCCTACTGGACTGCAAGGCATTAAGATAAGTAACATGGACATATTTGAAACACTAGAAAAACCATCCAAAATGCAATCAACTCAAGAATGTACCTGCCGAGCTTTTACCCTGATTTTGTTTAAAAGTGCAGTAAATATTCTTGTAGACATGCATTCACCAAATGAAACTAGATAATCTCGTGTTCTAAGAGTCAGCTCTTTCATCATAGCAATTCCCTTGAGAAGTTGTTCGAGTTCATCCAACAAACCTACAAGATTTCAAATTGAAAGTGGTGTCATTTATTCAGAATCGAGAAATATTGCGAGCACCACACACAAAGGCTGGATAGTGAAATATTCATGTAGCAGATTATAAAAGTTCGGTTCTGAATAAGCATGATTTATCTAAACAGAAAGCTTAAAACATACACATAAGCTTGAAAACTACATTGTCAGTTCATCTACGTGAACACTAATATTGCTTTGTTGTCAGAAACTGCTTTGCTAGATTCTTTTTAATACAGCGAAACAAAGGTTACATCATTTGAAGTGGATCTATATAGCAATTAAGCCATATGATGCACCAATCTTCCGCCTTCATACCCTATATGGAGGCATTTCCTGAGAGAATTTGATGTGGGCGAACATGACCGCACTACAAGTTAATTTAACATGTTTTGTAACCCTGAAGACACTTTATGTCAAAGAAGACTGAGAGAAGAATTTGGCAAAATGGGCAACATCTTACCATAAATAATTGACCTATCTAGCCCAAGCTGATCAAGCGTCCTAGACAAGGCAAAACGGTAGAAAAATAAATCAGGCAAAAGCATTCCAAACCAGTCCACTCGATGGAAGTAAAGCACTGCAATTCACACAGAACCATAGCCAAGATGCAATTCCTTAACAAAGGAGAGCTCGTCGAACTCCGAGACGTTGGTCGTGCCACAGCCCACTGCTTTTTCCCCAGCCTGCAACCAAAAATTGAAAAGCCACTTTTCAATCCTATATAATGGTGTAGGAATCCTCACAAAACTTAACACCTCGCATACCGAAGGTGATGAAGCTAGGCACGAGTGGTGCAGTAGAATACCATGAGGAGTTTGTTGGTGGTCTTCCCCATCGCTGACAGCACGACGACCGAGCGCTCCTCGGGGAAGCTGAGGATGAGGTCTGCCACCTCCCGCATCCTCTCGGCCGAGGCCACCGACGACCCGCCGAACTTCATCACGACGGTGAACTCCGGCGCCGCGCCCCCGTTGCCGCTTCTCTCCTGCGCAGCCTCCACCACCGAGTCATCCTTCTTCTCGACAATGGCGGCGCCGACGGCTCGCTGGCACCGGACCGCCACCTTCCCCAGGCACGGCGCGGCCGGGACCGCAACAGGCGCGCGGTGGGACCCTCAAGTGCAAGTCCCAGCCGCGCGGTGGTACGGAGAGCCGGCGTAGCCATGCTGGTGCCGCGAGGGTGGGAGGCGTGGAGCGGGAGGAGGAGGTGGAGGCGCCGGCTGGGGTGCGGTGCGAGAAGAACGGACGGCGAGGAGTAGTGCGAAGTGGTTCCTTCGGACGGGCCAGATCAATTCATCAATATATGTCCATGTTTGGACCAGACGATTGACATTTATACGGTACGAGATGCTGTAGAATCGTTTGGTATGATGAAGGTACGCCCATTCCTCCACAAAAGTCAGGAATAAAAAGACAATCTAATCTAAACTTTTGGCTGTTCTATGTTTTTCTGTGATATATATATATGACTCCTATGTGCCAGATGCCACGTCATCTTGCTTTCCTTTATTTTTCTAATACTTTGTTTTACAATTACATTTTTTTTCATTTACTCTATCTTCATCGATTTCTCTGTTTTTTATCCTCCGTTCCACATATATCCTATTTTGTAAACCTTATCAAGCGTTCATGTTGTTGAATACTAATGACAAGCTTTGGTTTAGTGTCGAGACTAAACCAACATAGCATGGAACTTTCTTGAGCGAAACCTAGACTTATTAATTAAAAAAAAGGGCAACTGCAACAAAACTGTAACCACTTCCGCTAACTTAGTTTATGATGGGTCTAGGTGTTGAGCATTGACAAGCTTTGGTTTAGTGTTGAGACTAACCATAGCATGAGTACAGTGTTGTGCAACATGTCTCTTAGTTTATGATGGGTCTAGGTGTTGAGCATTGAGACAGACGATGACAATGGAGAAGGTCAAGCGAATGTGCCAATGGACCAGGGGTGGTGAAGGACAGGCAGGAGGCTTAGACCGAGAGATCGAGGTGCTGGGTGGATCATGGACCGCTAACACTTGGCAACATCGACGAGCAAGTGTACATGAGGAGATGGCCTAGACTGTGTTGACCAAGTCAAGCGAGGGGTGCAAGGACTTGGTGATTGGATGGTCGAGGACGGACAGTGACGCACGTCAAGATCGTGGAGGAGGCGTAGCGGATATGCTTCTCTAGTTGGGTTTAGCGGTCTGGGCCTCAAAACCACTCGTGGATGGTTTTGCCGTGTTTGGGCTTGAAAACCCGAATGGAGTTTGGTGTGGCACATGGTGTCATCGAGAAGGTTGTGTCGAGGCGAAGCATTCTCGTGAAGGACTCATGGGTGTCGGATGCACGGTCTCAACTTGAACCATTATGCCCCTGGGGTTAAGTGGTTCAAGGAAATATCTAAGGACAGGCTTAGAATGTGTAATATGACTCTATAAATAAGAGGGGAGGTTGCCCAAACTAGCTATCTCTTCCCGTGTTTAGTTTACCTGTCTCCAGGTTGTGTCTCTCGTTATAGCCAGAGCTAGTTTCACTGTGTGTTGAGATCCGCAGATGAGAGATTGAATTGTCTGTCTATGTTCCTTTCGTAGAGTAAGACTAGATCTTGTAAGACTGTCTCCAACAACCGCGACCCAAAATACAAGACCCATTTGTCATTTGGGTAGCGCTACAGGTAAATGGTTCAATATCTATTTTTTTTCTTCTCCAACAAGAAGACCCAAAAGACAACCCTTTCTGTAAATGGGTCTCCCGGAGAGAGGATACTCAGATTTGGGTTATGCCTCTCCTGGCACCAAAATGGGTCTTCCATATAGGTACTCTGTTAGAGGCTATAGATATTATGTTGGAGACCTATTTTGGATTTGGGTTCCACAATGGATCTCCCATTGGAGACAGTCTAAGAACCAGTTCTTGTGAAGAAATAAAGCAAGTTGACCTCATAAAGTCTGAGTTCTTACTTTGTGATTTGGTTCTCTCTCCCCTAGCCCCTCTCTTTGATGTTTTGTTGGATCTCATAAATCTAAGCTCAGTTGTACATCTAAATAATAGCACTAAATATGTCAAGAATACCTTACTGGTGAGCTCTGAACATGTTTAATGCAACATCTCCAGAAATCCAATTTTCCAAAAAAAAATATCAGCATAAACTTTATTTGGATCAAATCGTTGATGCCTAATTATTTCTATAGAAAGTCAGTTTGTGCACCCAACGATGATAAGACATGGAACTAGAAGAACAATAAAGCACAAGAACTATCTAGGTCTTCATGATCATCATGACGAAGCTTGTGTCATGGAACTAGAAGAACAATAAAGAACAATCACTATCTAGGTCCTTGTGATCATTATGACGAAGCTTGTGGTAATGGATCATCAAAGAATCAAACAGTTTACCCTATCTGCTGCCGACTATCCATCAGGATTTACAGTAGCTCTTTTAACTTTTGACTCGTATTCTCTACCGATCTTTTTCAAACCCTTTATAACACATGAATAATGGCCACAATAAAGAGACATCCAGAATGTAACTAGACTGATCAAGAGAATTCTCACTTTATTTTCTGATCTCAAGAATTCCAGAGTCGGGAATGTACCCGATATCATATATACAAAAATTCCCCTTGTAAATATGCCCATCATCGTGACACTTTTTCCAGTGCTTTGGTTAACTCATTTGATTCTTATCTTTTTGAGTTGATCTTTTGGGGGTAGTTTCAAAATGAGTTAGTCAAGGTGTGTGCCAATTTTCAGATTTTTTGGAATTCGTTTGAATTTATTTCGATTTTTTAAGAGAATTCTGCTAAAATCTGCGTAAACCTGCTTAGGCCGGTTTTTTAAGTTCCTCTAGTTGAGCTGATTTTTTTGTGGAGATCTTCTCCTTGATGTTTTAAGCTCCTCCACCAAATTTCAAGTCATTTTGAAATCGTTTGATTGGTTTTTGACTTTTTCTCCTCCGTGAGCTAAAAAATTGATTCAGGCCCGTTTTTGCAGTTGGTTTCCGAGTTCCCCTGTTTTGATCTCCGGTTGCTTAAGTGATAGTTCCGCTGTGTTCTCTAGTATATATCTCTTGAGCACATCTTGCCACCAGTTGGTTCGTGCGTGTTCACATGTGATTTTTGAGCACTTTGTTGGCGGTGTTGGCATAGTGGCCAATTTCGGAAGAAATTTTGATTTGGCTCCCATTCACCTCTTTCTGGTCACCTATAGGATCAATATCATAAAAGTTCACATCCTACTCATCAAAAACCTTTCAAGCTCAATGCATAGTTCATAGTTGGTTATGTGATTAAGGGCCTATTTAGATACCAAGGCTAATTACTAGTAGATAACTAAAAATTTAGTTATAATTAACTCTAATGTATCTAAAAAGAGGGCTAGTAAGTAGGCTAACTTTTTAGTCAAGGATTCAACTAGTTGTTAGTCAACTAACTAGCCAATCTTAATTAATTTTTAGTCTAACTAGTAAGTAACCCTAAGTCATCCATACAGAGCCTATAAGGGCATCTTCTAGAGTCTTTCTAAAACTCATTTTCTAAACCATTATTTGAAGCGTCATTTGAATAAAAGTCATTTTCTATATCTTTTTATTTTTCAACAACTTTTCTATATCTTATGCACACTCTAGAGATTCAATCTCGTTGTCTATCTTTGGCTAGTAAGAAATCCAAAATAAATGATGACAATATCTAGATATCAACTAGAGAAATTATTGGAGGGTATTTATTCACCAAAATCTCTATTCCTAACAATTAGGATGGATATAGAGAGCCTCTTAGAATTGTTCATGATAAAAATTCTAAAAAAGGTCACGAGTCGTGAATGAGCTGATGGCTCAGTGGTGAGGCTTGCTTAGTGGAGCACCCATGCCCTGGATTCGAGCTCTGCTCGGCACATGTTTTGCACCAGGGGTTTTCCTCGTTCTCTTTGCAGCCTTAAGCTTAGATGTTTCACAAACCATAATGGTTGGAGCCTTTTTATCTGTGTGCCATTATAAAAGTTGGTAATTACCCACAAGCCATTAAAAAAGTTGAGTTCTCACAGTGTGTCCATTGCTCTAAACTCTTTTGCCCTCCACGCCACTTCCGTCAGATTTGGTTCTAACGGTGTCAAACTGCGGATGTGAAAAGACAAAAATACCCTCAGGTTTAAATATGGAATTAATTTTTTTAGCATCTTAACCATCTCAAATTAAAAAAATCAAAAATAGAAAGTTGTAGATTTCGTCGAGATCTACAATATTTATATAAAAATCATCTTCAATTGATTTCGTAAAAAAAAAATTCTAAGATATATTAATCATATCAAATTATATCTTTTTGTACGGAATTAAATGAAGATAATTTTCATACAAAAATTGTAGATATTGTTGAGGTTTACAACTTTCTAGTTTTGAGTTTTTTCATTGGCGCTCATTAAGATGCTCAAAAAAATTAATTGCATATTAAACGAGGTATTTTTGACTTTTCACACCCATGCTTTGACACCGTTAGAGCCAAATCTGACGGAAGTGACGTGAATGACAAAAAAGTTCATAGCAGTGGCACCTTTGAGAACTTAATTTTTTTAATGGCTTATGTGTAATTACCAACTTTTATAATGACACACAGGTAAAAGTCTCTAATAGTTAGAGTGTGGTGATCTTCGAGTATCTTTCAGCCATATGTGTAATAGTTCTAACTTATGTACGGTACGTGTGAGTTCTAACTTGTGTAGTTTATGCATGTGAGTATATATATATATATATATATATATATATATATATATATATATATATATATATATATATATATATACACACACACACACTACAATTTGTAGTTGAAGTACAAAAGTATTGAAAACCAACACTTCGAGGAGAATAGAAAATCTCCTCCTCCTCCTCCTCCTCTCTGTCCCCTTCGTCCGACTCCGAGAAAGCGCCACCGCCGGGCACCGGCCGCGCAGCGAATGGCGGCAGCAAGCATCATGCCTCCACACACAAACCCACCACCTCCAGCCACAGCGCGTGATCCCACCGCTACCGTCTCCGATCCCCAACGCCACCGAGACGCACCGACGCCGTCCCTCCGCGCGCTCTTCCTCCGCGCCGTGGACCCGTCCCGCCCCTCGTCATGGTCCACGGCCGTCGCGGACCTCCTCTCATCCGGCGACCCCGTCGCGGCGCTGGCCGCGTTCGCCGCCGCCCTCCGAGCCAACCCCGCTGCGCTCCGGCCGGCCCTGCCCCCGGCCCTCCGCGCCGCCGCCGCCGCCACTTCCCTCTCCGCCGGCCGCCAGCTCCACCTCCTCGCGCTACGCTCGGGCCTCTTCCCCTCCGATGCCTACTCCGCCTCCGCTCTCCTCCACATGTACTACCATTGCTCCCGCCCCCTCGATGCCCGCAGGGCGTTCGACGAAATCCCCGCCCCCAACCCCGTCATTGTCACTGCCATGGCGTCCGGTTGCGTGCGCAACAACCTCGTATATACCGCGCTCTCTATCTTCCGCTCCATGGTCGCCTCTGATTCTGCGGGAGTGGTTGACGAGGCGGCTGCACTGGTAGCGCTCTCTGCATCTGCTCGTGTCCCTGACCGTGGCATTACTGGTGGTATTCATGCACTTGTCTCCAAGATTGGCTTGGATGGGCATACAGGGTTAGCAAACACGATGCTAGACGCTTATGCAAAGGGCGGTGGTCATGACCTGGGGGCGGCGAGGAAGCTCTTTGATATGATGGAGAGGGATGTGGTGTCCTGGAACACGATGATTGCATTGTACGCCCAGAATGGACTGTCAACAGAGGCACTTGGGTTGTATAGCAAGATGCTGATTGTGGGAGGTGGTGTTAGATGCAATGCAGTAACCTTGTCGGCTGTGCTACTAGCCTGTGCGCATGCGGGGGCAATACAGGCTGGAAAACGCATCCATAATCAGGTGAGTTGCTTCCTCATAACCTTTGATCACAAAGTTCCTTGGCTAGTTACATGTTTCTTGGGATCAAATTCACCATGCCAATATCTGAAGATCAGTCTACGTGATTTTGCTGAACAAAGGGAGCCATCTATAACTGTTAGAATAGTCTTACATTAGTTGTCAAGGGCCTCTATGCTAGCTCATTCCTGCAGGAGTGCCATCACCTCATGAACCATGTGAGATGGCATTATAGCACCAAAAGTACCTACATGCATCATCCTGTGAAAAAAAGTTTTAAAGTTGTTACTAGTCACTGTTAATGATGATGGAATAATGTTTTAGCATACAGGTATTTCTGTGCCTTAGGTGTTAAGTTTGGCCAAACAAATGGACCTGCATGCTTTGAAGAAAAAATATGCTGTGAACATAGAAGCATCATGATCACCTTTTTCTTTTCAAGGACTATAGTATACAGTAACCTTTTTCTCATCTGTTGCTTTGCTTTTGGAGATCTGTGGTAGTGTGGTATATGTCAGATTTGTCCACAAGAAATTTTTTGAGTTATGATTATGATATAGCTGCCATACTTGCCAGTGAGCATTTGTACTTCCATAGATTTTATGTGAATCAAAATTGCATTTGAGAATTCTATGTGAGTTGTCTTGTCAGTAGGTATCATTTATTTGTCTTTATGGATCTAGTGATCTACATTATCATTGATTCATTATACATTGATCAAGGTAAGAATAGAAATGCTAGGTCATCTACATTAGTTCATTGCTAAGCTTTAAGCAACTTCCCTTTGGCAGCATTGGATGAGATACACATCAAATCAATTATTCATCTGTCTCACAGTTTCCATTTTCTCAAATTATTTGATGGTGATATGCCATTCTTTCTATTTAATTTTAATGTGATTAAATTTTCCTCTTATTATATATTTGAAAGGTGGTAAGAATGGGGTTGGAGGACAATGTCTATGTCGGGACTTCTGTAGTTGATATGTACAGCAAGTGTGGAAAAGTTGAAATGGCATGGAAGGCCTTTCAAAAAATTAAGGGAAAGAATATCCTTTCATGGTCTGCCATGATTGCTGGCTATGGCATGCATGGATATGGCCAAGAAGCCCTTCATGTTTTCACTGACATGAGGAAGTCAGGGCTAAAGCCAAACTACATAACCTTTATCTCAGTTTTAGCTGCTTGCAGTCATGCTGGTCTTTTGAATGAGGGCCGTTATTGGTACAACACCATGAAAACTGAGTTCGGAATTGAACCTGGTGTCGAGCACTATGGATGCATGGTGGATCTTCTTGGCCATGCTGGTTGTCTTGATGAAGCTTATGACCTTATTAAAGAAATGAAAGCCAAACCTGATGCTGCTTTGTGGGGAGCTCTTCTTAGTGCATGCCGAATCTACAAAAACGTTGAGTTGGCGAAAATTTCTGCAGAAAGATTGTTTGAGTTGGATGCAACTAACTCTGGGTATTATGTTCTCTTGTCAAATATATATGCAGAAGCTGGAAGGTGGAAAGATGTGGAAAGAACGAGAGTTCTGGTTAAAACCAGAGGAATAGAAAAGCCTCCAGGGTATAGCTCGGTTGAGTTGAAAGGTAAAATCCATTTGTTTTATGTTGGGGACAAGAGTCATCCACAGTACAAGGAAATCTATGCTTATTTGGAGAAACTGCTTGAGAGAATTCAAGAAGCAGGCTATGTACCAAACACAGGTTCTGTTCTTCATGATTTGGATGTAGAAGAGAGAGAATCCATGTTGCGCATCCATAGTGAAAAGCTTGCTGTTGCGTTTGCCCTGATGAACTCTGTACAAGGGTCAGTAATCCATGTCATAAAGAATCTCCGGGTCTGCACTGATTGCCATGCAGCAATAAAGATTATTACAAAGCTTACTGGACGAGAGATTATTGTTAGAGACATAAAGCGCTTTCATCATTTCAAGGATGGGTTATGCTCATGTGGGGATTATTGGTGACATTATGCAAAGAAGCTTAGTTTGTGATGCCATATTGGTAGGCATCAGAATATCACATATTGAGATAACTGTTTATGATACTCTCAGTGCATCTGTCCAGGACACAAAGGCCAATACATCAGTGATATACTTTATAACTTTTCATCCTGATTAGGATAAAATGGTCTGAAGTCTGAACTGCATAGCTGGCTGACGCAGTTAGTCAACTTATCTGTGGTGAAGATGAAGGACATTGGGGCTTTCAATAGTCCTGCGTAATACACTTGCACTTTCATGTGCAAGACATGGATTTTCATCATGATATGAAGGGCTTGTAACATAATGGCTCAGCCTTGACCATTTGTGAAGGCCAGGAGCACAAAGTCATTTTGGAGTACATGAATTTCTGCCAGGATTATTTTTTAATATTTACATGTTATGAGAAACACTGCTGGACACTTCAGAAGCATGAATTTGTCAATCCCAGAAATGTGCCCCAGAGAGGAAATTGAGACATGATCATTTCTTAATATCAACTCTGTTCCATAACATTATAGAAGGTTTGTATGTTATTCTCATTTAAATGTACAGTAATTAGTAAACAAAGTGTGATACTGTGGAGGAGTAAGGACTTAAATACCATTTCGCCCTGAAAACCATTTCAAACTGAGTTCAGGCTTTAGAGATGAGGTTCTTTATTACTAATTGTTTTATAAAAGTAGTATGCGCTATCCAAGCTATCAACTAACTGGATAGTGGTTTTGTGGAAAGTGAGTGCTTATACATCCTTTTAAAGTGGATTGCATAGTTGTCACAATAAGGACAGTAGAATATAGCTAATCACATTGTGTGCAATTTGACAAAGAAACAAAGCTGTCGGTCTTACATAACTGCATGTGCAACTTTTTTTCTGTAGCCACAATCCCATTGCTTAGCCCATGCCCTGTCAAACATGGCATGCTTGGAGGCGACAGGGATGTGCACATGAGGTGAACAGATCCACTGTATGGCGCACATGGAGGGCATGAATTCGACCTGGTTTCTCCCATTTACCAAATCAGCTGTCGACACCATTGTTCCTCCCCTTCCTCAAATTATCTGACAGAAGTAATCCAGCAAAGAGGACAAGGGGTATAGCACAAACGGAGAGAGCAAGAGTGAGAACCAGCCACAGGTCAGTAGTACATGCTTGTGTTCAAGTGTTTGTCTTGGTGATTTTGGTTCGAAAAATAGGGAGGGGTGAAGGGTTTGATTTTGTGTTGTAGGGTTTTAATTTTTTCAGTTGCAAGGCTCCAAGTTGAATTGTTAGAAATCTGTACTGAGTTTCCTATATATCTGTTGAATTGGTAAGTGTATGTGGTAATTAATTAGGGTTTGTTTTGCTCTGAAGACCAATGTGTTCAAGCTTCTGGTGACAAAGGGAATGGTGGTTTCCTTTGGTTCTACACTGGCAGGAGGATGAGAGGATGATTCTTTGGGCCCCGTATGAGGTATATTTGTGTAAATGAATGGCTGAGTCTTGCTGTGCGTTGGTTGTGTGTATGGATATACATTATTTTGCTCTTTGTAGGAGTGAAACTGGTGCATCTGTCCAATGTTTCAGCGCAGAGCGGCTGGTAAAGTAGCTTGCATATATGAAGGTGAAGGATGCCTGTGAATGTTCGAGGAAGAGTTCTGCAGAGTTGGAGAAGGATTGGGTTACGCCAAGTGCAAAGAAGCTCCACGGTGAAAAGAGGAAATGGGATGCAGCAGAGAGAAAGAATACCTTAAGCATGTCTAGAAAGGACGGGTTCTGCAGCAAAACTGGAGGATGGTTGTGGTATAATCTGTATGTCGTATGGCGCCTGTGATAAGGTTGCTGGTGCTTCTCTCAGTATCTGTTGCTGCTGGCAAGCGCAGTACCTGTTGGAGCCACTCCAGGACACTCTGAACTCTGTAACGATGGAGGTGTACATTTTTGGCAGCATATAGGAGCTTGGGATATGTTTATTTTGTATCTACACCTGCGATGTGCTTAACCGCTATTAACGGCAGTGCGGCATTTTAACTTTCTTTGTAGAGTTATTATATGTATACACTGAATCCGAACGACTAAAAGATTACACGGGGATTGCACCCATCGGCAGCTAAAGAACATGCTTTCCATCCTGAGTGACAGAAGGCTTTTCCAACTTTTCAATCAAGCTTCAAAGAATCATAAGCCATCATATGACTTCTGAATCAGGTTTATTAGGGTTCATAAAGAATAAATGAAAGGTAGTTACTTTCAGTGAAAATCTCGTCTGCTCATTGACACGGCCATATTGCACAAAGATCATAAACGAAAGAAAGTATCAGAGGCGGTTCAAAGCTTCATGCCAAAGACACCTGAGTCACAAATTCTAACGTCCACTGGTAAGCGAGGCATCCATGTAGCATATTTAAGGGTTGCATTGCATGCAAATTCCTTGGGCACACTTCTCCAAACAAAGTATTGGTGATTTGTCTGGCAATGAAGTTCTTATTTCAGTTCCCCTGCTGCTCATGCTTCTGCTACATCAAGAAAAAGAAGAGCAAACCCAAGGAAGAGGGAAATCAGGCTTGATGTGCTCTGCTGCTACATCCATTTCACTTCAGATTTGGACGAGGGTTTCCATTTGCAAGTATGTCCAAAGGTGTATGATCATCTGTGCAAAACTGTACTGTTTGAACTTCATGTGTCTGAAGTGAATGCACATACTATCATCAGAGATAATGTCACTCTGTCAAATGATGTACGGTGTTAAACTGTCTTCCATATCATAAAAGTCAGTCACTGATTAATTTCTTTTGTCTTTATCTGTGGCTTCTGTTTTGTGGATGCCCATCTCCTTCATCTGTTGTTCAACAGGCACGAGCCCGACTTCAGCCAGAAACCTACAATACAGAAATGGCACTTCGATTAATCATTCACCAAACAAGAGTAACAGTGTTCACAGGGTGGATATAAACGGGTAGATAGACTGACCTGTTAAGCAGCACAAATAGCACGGTTCCTATAGTTACGAGCAGAAGAACATGCGCAACAATTACAAAGTTTTTCGATGAAAATGCTAGCGCAAGCATCGCCGTAAAACACAAGGCCAGGAGGAAAAACGTAATCTTGAGCACAAACCACGTGGGAGCCTACACAGCAAAAGTAGCATCAATTAAGCTTTGTCATCAACATGTGTAATGCCAAAACCATGCAAACAGAGGCAAGACTAAGGTTGAATATGAGACTCAGTATACAATGAGAAAATGTACAACAAAACACACTACATTGCACTCAAAACAAACATGACTAAAGTTGAACTGACATCAATATGGAATATGTTGCACGAATTATGCACCAAAAGGAATGTCCTTACATTAACACCAGAGGACAATGCTCCCACTAAGACAGCTTCGGCAGATGATACTTCATTTGAGCGGTGCCCTTCCATTCTGTGTCCAGCACTATTATTACTAGCAGAAATTGGTAACAAAATCAGGTAGATCAGTAGATGCTCCATGCTGAACCATCATCATTACAATTCATAACGTTTAGTACAGCAGAGAAAAAGGGGTTATGGTTGGCCTTTCAATATTTTCCAATGCAACTTGCAACAGTTAGCAATTGAGTGGCTGTTTGGTATTGGGGGACTGCTGGAGATGCTCTAATGACCGAAGTAACAATCAATACATCTCTAATTATATCTCAACTTTTAGTTGTACTTTTGACATACGTAGCAAACTTGCACAGGCACTCGCACGCGGCCAGCAAAATACAACGCCTTACGGATAAAGATAGCGTAACCCAGTATAGGACACGGGTGTACAAACTAGAACCGATAATTTTTGCAAAAAGCTCGAAGCTAGGCGGAATCATGTGTGTACATGCGAGTTAGATCCGGGTCAGATCCGGATAAGAATAACTTATATTAGGTTTGAGCCTTTGGGGCGCTAGGTTTCGCACAGCAGGAAGGAAAGAGAAGATGGCGTGCATACCTGGTGGGTGCTCGTCGCCGGTGAAGTCTGGTGATTGGTGAAGGCTGAAGGGCCGCGGCGGTCGCACAGTCGTCGCCTCAAGAAATCAAGAAAAACGAGAGAGAGAGAGAGGCGAACGGGAGAAAGAGGAGCAAGGGGACCGACCGCATCGCACAGCCCAACAATGGCCCAAGGCTCAACCCACTCATCACATGGAATTCAGCTGGAAAAAGTGGCGATCCCCTAAAAAAAAGCTGGAGTGGCTTTGACCTCCCTCAACTAAACTTTTTTTGTGTCTCAAAAATAAAAAAAATAAACTTTTTTAATCCTCCATCAACTTTCAAAACTGTTTGTTTTTGCATAATTCGATGGTTTCACAACACGCACATATTTACGTTTTAATAAACATCGTATCTTTTTTAAAAAACAAATCTCATAGATTGTAGGATCCTAAAGTTCTGATTTGTAGTTTTTTGTTAACACATGAACTATATTATAATTTTTAGATATTGTATGGAGTAATTACTAAACATAATCAAATTGACTAATTTTGATAGAGTTTTACATTTTGAACTTGATGATGTTTGGGACTAAACACTTTGCTTGTAAGGAGATATAAAGCCTCCTATTAGTCACTATTAGTCAACTCCGCCTATGTTGGGGTGCCTATGGTGTTCTAGCATAGCAGGTCCCAAGCTCGTAAAGGAGAAATGTTGTGTTGACTTGCGAGCCAACGTAAAAACTTAGCCACTAGTATGGAAATGACATGCTTTGTTGTTGTTGTTGTAGTCACGTCCAAAGTGCGAGCTTGGTATTTGTATTAATCACCTTTTATACTACTTGAAATTTCTATATAACGATAGTTATCAATTAGAAGAAATATAATTAATCACTTTAGTTGATGATGTCACGTACATTAAATTCATCTGGTGTATTTTGCATATTGTGTTTGATATTGTCCTGCTTCAAAGCGTGAATAATTTATTTGATAGTGCGTTGCACCGGGGAAAAATAGTACCACGATAATTCTTGACTGTGTGTGATAAACTGATATGCCACGTAATGATTAAACTGAATAAACTGAACTAACAATCTGATTTTTATTTCAAATCCCTCCGTATCATTCATCCTTCTCCTTCATGTATAAATGACCTAGCCCTTGTGTCGATGTTGGCTAGCAGCAGCAGCAGGATGGCGAGCAGCCAGTGATGCTCATCATGGGGTGCGCAAAAGGTGGGATCAGGTACGGGTACTTTCATGTCTTGATGCCACATGGGTCACCCTCGGCATTCGGTTAACCGAAACCGATCGGTTCGGTTCTTCGATTCTTTATAAAATTCGGTTAGCATAAAATTGGGAACCGATCGATTAGCTAGGAAACTTGGAACCGAGGAAATTCGGTCTCGGTTAGTTCGGTTCGGTTTCGGTTAGAACCAAACTAACCGAGCCATACATTACATCAGCGAAACAGATGGGAAGAAAATGGGAAAAATGAAAATCGAGCCATACGTTACATCAACCATACAGTTCGGTTCTTTTGCTATTGGGCCAATATATACAGATTCGGTTCTTTGGTTTTGTTCGATTAACCAAGGTCTAGAACCGAATTACCCAACATTATTTTGGTTCCTGAGAACCGAAACCGATCTAGGAACCGAAATTTTTAGTTTCGGTTAATTCGGTTTCGGTTCCGATTATTTCGGTTCGGTTCTCGATTATTTTTGCCCAGGGTTATGCGTGGGGGCCACCGGCCACCGACATCCCCGATGGATTCCTTGGACTGGCGCGCGACGAGCCGGGCGAATTCCCTGTCTGCGACGCCATGTTGCTGACATTGACAAAGCGCCTAGACCAGCACGCCGCCATGTGAGCCACGACAGCGCGCATAGTGCGGACCTGGCCAAGGAAGTTGACGTCGAGGGCGTTAGGAGCGTATTTCCCAGAGTATGATCCGGTGATTTTGTTTGTTTTTTTACTGGAGACAGTCCGTTTGTAGATCGTTTTTTTTCCCAAAGTATGTACCCGATCCGGTGATTTTATTCATTTATCGTTTTTTTACCGGAGTCAGCTAGATTCGGTTTTTTCCCCAGCGTACGTACACGATCCGGTGCTTTTTTTTCGTTTTTTTGACTGGAGGCAGCCAGAGTTCGTACCCATGTGTGGGCCTAGCTTGGGGCGCGCGCACCAAATTTGGTTTGACGAAAAGTCTGTGTACACAGAGGTCGGGTGTTTGAGGGATATCTCACACCCGAGTGTCATGTCGCCTGAAAACATTCGGATCGCAACAACAAACGTAATCGGGTGACACATCCCAGCTAAGCACTCGATTCCTATAGCCGCTGGATCCAAATCTTACGATGCAAATAAAATATATCAAATAAATATAAAGATCAAATAATAAAATAACAAAAAAATTACCAGATAATTACTATGGAATGCAAATTGGTAGAAGTTAAAAGAAAAAGCAGATAAAATATACAAACAACAAATAAAAAAGGCATAAAAATAACCAGATAATTTCTATAGAAGCCAAACTGAAAGATTTCAAAGAGAAACAAATAAACCATACAGACAAAAAAAAAAGAGCCAAAAAGGACCAGAGAAGTATTCAAATAATCCAAATGACCATTGTTATTTACAAACAATAAATTTACACCAACTGAACGTATAATTTACAACCAAACGGAAGTCGTAAAATATGTATGTAAAAGCATCTAGGCCTCTAGTTGAGTTTCGGTGATTAATGACAATACGTGTGTGTTTTGCAGAGACAATTAAGTTAGGTCACGGTAATAGAGATTGATTGGGCAATCATGGTTGTCATGCCCCTACGATGGAAATCGTTTCGGTTTGCAAAGGATGGACGACAAGGTTAAGGATGGACTAGTTCTAAGTGTCGTTTGGTATTGAAGAGACACTTAGAGTAGTTTAGGACTTTGTTTTTTCTTTGGTCGTACTATTAAGGGGGGTATGGACGGGTAGCTTGACCTATGTGAGTCTAGTGGGTTAGGTATGGTGCACACTTATCAAAACTAGCATTATGTAGCTCCAAAATAGCCCTAATATCATGTGGAGCAAACTTCATTCACATATGCTTGAGAGATAGAAGTGAATGGAGGGTCAAATACTGACCGGACGCTGGCCCCGGTGCGACCAGTTCATTTGATCAAGGTGAAGTCGTCTGGCGCGACCGGACGCTGAGAGTTAAGCGACCGGGCGCTGGGTGCCAGCGTCCGGTCGACTCCAGTAAGGTTCTAGAGAGGAAAAATCGCGACCGGACGTGTCCGATCAGTGCTGACCGGATGTTGTTCAGCGTCCGGTCACTTTATGAACACTGGAGTTCGGGGTGAACTGAGCGGAGCGTCTGGTTACCCTACAGAGGCACATAATGGTTTGTTTTTTCAACCAAGGTTATAAATACAACCTCCACTTGTGTGTGGGGGCACTTTTGCTCATTCCAACAGTTGAGAAACACCTTTGAGAGTGTCAAGAAGAGCAAGATCCTAGTGAGGTGATTGAGATTTGAGAATCCCAAAGAGAGCTCTCATTAGTGAGATCAAGAGTAGCAAAGTGTGCATCCATCCTTCTCATTAGGCTTGTCGTGGTCAAGTGAGAGTTCGTGCTTGTTATTCTTGGTGATCACCATCACCTAGATGGCTTGGTGGTGATTGTGAGCTTGGTGATCATCCGGAGAGCTTGTGGATGACCCAACTCAAGTTGTGAGCGGTTGTGGGTGATTCACCGCGACGGAGTGTCGAAGAATCAACCCGTAGAGAGCACTTGATCCTTGCGCGGATCAAGGGGGAGCTATACCCTTACGCGGGTGCTCCAACGAGGACTAGTGGGGAGTGGCGACTCTCTGATACCTCAGCAAAACATCGCCGCGTTCCTCCTTCTCTATTTACTTTGAGCAATTCAATTCTTGTCATTTACATTCATAGAATTGTCATGCTAGAGTAGGATTGGAACATATGTTGCTAAATTTTTATGCGGTAGATCAATAGAAATAATTTTCTAGGCACAAGGGATTAATTGGGCTAACCATAGGATTTAATTATTGCAAAGAAATTTAGAATTAGCCCAATTCAGCCCCCTCTTGGGCATCTTGATCCTTTCAATTGGTATCAGAGCCTCGTGCTCACGTATTTAGGCTTAACCGCCTAGAGAAAGATGTCTCACGGGGATGGACCTCCTCCTATTTTTGAGGGGGATGATTTTCCATATTGGAAAATCAGCATAGAGGCGTATTTAGAAGCTCTAGATGTTGGAATACTTAGAGCCGCCTCACAAGGATTCCCAAAACCTCGGGATCCCACGCACCTACAAGGCGATGAGGTCAATTACGAAAAATGGAATGCAAAGGCTCGAAACACCATATTTAGAGGCCTTTGTAAAGATATGTTCAATCGGGTGAGGTGTCGTAGAACCGACCAATTTATAAGAATACAAGTACAATGGCAATCCGCAAGCGGTCGCACTGTCATACTTGAACCCATATAAACCCGGTAGTCCGTCAAGTACCACGACGGGTCTTGATAAACGATTT